ATAGCAGTAAATAACCATTCTTTATTGTTAAACGATTGCTTTACCGACTTAATTCCAGTCGGCATCACGATTAATTTTTTCTAACTTTATACTGCTACTAGCAAGACAGTACATTAATGTTGTTTCAATGTTTTCCATTTCGCCTTTAAACAAATTTATAAATATTTTAAAAAGATAGTACTTCAAAGCCTCTTCCATATATACATACAGTATTACTGGAGCTGTTAACATAATGTTTGCTTTATTTTAAAGGAATAAAGAAAATATTTGACAGATCACTAAACTTACTCATCAGAATGCCGTAGATCCATGCTTTGTACATCTGTGACAGATGTAAATATTTGATTTGAAATATTTTCAGATATGATGTCATTGGACCATAAATAATTGTAGACAACAACTTGCTGATCTATTGCTACGCTACATAACTGATTGTCACTTTTAAATTTTAGACCTATAGAGACATCGTATTTTTATATAAATCTTATATTGCCTCAAATTGTGTATGTATTCACATATACCTGTATATATTCACATATACCTGTGATCTGAGCAGAATGTACAATTGCTGTACTCCACTTGGATAATAGTACAACTGATATCGTTTTTTTGTATTAATTTGGAAACAGACAAGACTGAGAAGATTATCGTTTCCACGAGTAGCTAGAAGATATTTATTTTTTAACACACAATTTAGATCCTCAGAAGGATAAATTTATCTCCCAGACTTTTAGCTGTGCTCTTCCTCCAGCAGAAAAGACTAAATATCTGTTATTTAATTTGCCGAGCTTGTTGCTTAATTTAACAATACTTATACATTTTATGCCCGAAAGATGACCATCAAAAATTCCTAAAGTATGAAAGGTGTAGACGTTCTCGACATTTTCTTTAAAACTCTGAGATACACAACTAACACGAAGGGTGCAGTCTTCACCACCAGATATTAAAATATCGTGCGTATCAAGTCTTAAAATATATTGCAAGCAACATGTCTCTTTTACGTGAAAACCGTCCTAAAACAAAAACATTGTATCATCTTAGAATTTTGCAGTTTACTTTTGTATTTATTTTTTAAATTTATTCTTTTAACAAAATACTTATATACCTGTAAAATAAGTAGTTTTAATGACTTCATGAGTCGGAAGGTCCTGTACCATTTTGCGAGATTCGCAATATTTAACGAGATCTTAATACATAAAGATCCAGGAATGAGCGTGCAGCCACGTTCAAAATTACAGTTCGGAGTTGTCATTATTTCGCGCGCTCGTACGCCGTAGCAACGGAATGACAAGAACTAATAAACAGCATATAAAATACATAAAAAATCAATAACTGCCGACGACTAACTAATGTGACGCGAAAATATAAATTTTGTATTTTTTTAATTGAAATGAATAAGTCTAATGTCAAGATA